TACTAACCTCATTCTTCCTCGAGCCTAGAGCACTAATGTGAGAGTATCTTGGAGCTATCCGCTTTTTATAATGTCTGGTTCCGCTCTCAAAGGTCTGAAGTCATTGGCCAGGACAGCTTAGTTATGTGTGCCTTGTGCTCATGCCCCACTTCTTCCTCTATTTAAACCTAACGTTCTTACACTCCAAAGATGAAAAAGATGTTTATCATGAGGGATAGATGATGAATCCAGAAAAAAGGTCCACTCAGAACTCTCCAGAATGTACGCTGGTTTAGAGAGGTACTCCTAATTAACCATCTTTGGTTGTGTTAGCACTACTCTTCATAGTGGCACAAAACACCTGATAAGAAACAACTTCAGGGAAGAAGGGCTTATTTTGGCTCACAGTGTGGGGGTATAGCCCACACTGTGGGAAGAGCATGGTGGCAAAAGCATTAGGCTGCTCGTTCACATCTGCATGGGTCAGCAGGAGAGGCGAGGGGGACACGTCTCAGCTGGCTTTTCCATCCACCATTGGTGGCGGTGACCACATTCACAGCTCACCGTGCCTAGTTAATACTCTCTGGGAAACCCTCACAGATATACCCAGTACTCTTCCACACCGATGCCCATAGTTTCTTAATCCAGCTGAGCTGACCTCTGGAATTAATCATGGCTTTTCTCCATAAAGATCTGGGGCACTCGTTGTTGGGTTACATACTTAGTAGCAGTTTTGAAATCTTTTTCACATCGCAGCACACAGGATGTGATCATATTTGCCCTCAGCAACAACAGGCATCTTAACAGTTTCCAATTTTAAAGTAGACATATGGACAGCTCTCCATATGTTGGCCATGGATCATTTGGAGTGTCTATGAAGTTTTTTCCTACTGTTCAGATAATGTTTATTAAAAATCAGAGCTCTATTTTTTAAGAAGCTTCTTCTTGGAAAGGAGAGATGGCTCAGCAAGACAGACCGCTATGAAAGGGGGAAAATCTATTTAAAGTCATTACTGTTAGGAGGTAGTTTGTTAGGTAACAATTAAAAACTATTTTAGCTCCCTTCTCCATCTTTATGCTTAATTTGTTGTAGAAGCAGCCTTTGGACAGTTAACATGTACAGACAGACTCTCTGGTGTGATGAGATCCGTGGAACATTCCAAGTTTTCCAACCTCTGTAGCATTTGAAAGGTATTGGAAGAGATCATTACATTTTTGAGCTGAGCCAGAAGTGCTGACACATACCATTATGTGTCCTAGAACTTAGGAGGCGGAGGAAAATGGATGTAACCACAGTGCCAGGATGACCACAGCTCCTTAGACATCCTGTCTCAACAAAATCAAAAAAGAAAAAAAAAATGAGCTATATTGTTAACATAAAACCAGTAAGCTACATCTCTAAGCAAGTTGGTCTGAATACTAAAAAGGAGGAAAACCAGTACAATTCATTTGATGAGGCCAATGTAGACTTTATGCCAGACTTTGAGAAGGGGAAGTACAACGAAGCAAAGTTAAGTCCACTTGCTGTTAAATGGTATGAATTTATTTCAGTTAAACATACCATTTCTCTTAAAATTGCATCTTGTAAAGTAGTCTGTGTCTCAAAAGTAATAGTGAAGTGAATATGAGCAAAGTAACAAGTATGATAAACAGGTATGCAAATTTTGTATAATTAACAACCCATACACCAAACAACTTTGTATAATTAACAACCCATACATTTTGTATAATTAATGACCCATACACCACACATCAGCAATTAATTTAATGGTAATGAGCCAATCTGACTCACATACTAATGAACATATATGTACCTAGAAAGAACTTTAATTGTTTTTATGTATTTAAATTTATCTCTCAGGAGGGGGATGTGCTAAGGCCTGAGTGAAGGACAACTTTGTGGAGTCAATTATCTCCTTTCACCGATGGCTTCTTTGGTCTAGACTCAGGTTGTCAGGGTTAGTAGCAAACAACTTAATCCAGGGAGCTATCTTTTCAGTTGGTGTGTGTGTGTGTGTGTGTGTGTGTTTATATGGGGACCAAAAGAGGATGCTATTCAATTCTTCTTGGCTGTGTTCCTTTGAGACAAGGTCTCTGTATGAGCCTGGTACCAGCTAGAGGCAAGCAAGCCTCAGCAATCCTCCTGTCTCCGCCCCTTCCTTCCTCCTACAGTGCTGGGTTACAGCTGTTCATGGCCACACCTGGCTTTTCACATGGGTGCTGGAGATTTGAACTTGGGCCCTCACAGAATTGGGCCACTGCTTCTTTCTCTTGGTTTGTGCTGTGTTCCTGGCAGCTGGTACTAATTAAAGGCTAGTCAAATTTGTTCTCTATATGTCTTCCTGATGAAAGCATTCCTGAAGAAAGTCCTCCAAGAGGGAGAAACTAGAAGCTGGTATGCCTCCTAAGGACTAGCCTCGGCAATCAAATGTTACTTTAGACTACTCCACTGGGTGAACACAGTCACCCCCAACTGACTCTCTTCAAGTCTACGTTCTCATTCCGAAATCCATTACTGAGGCAGATGTCCAGGACACAGGGACACAAGAAGAGGCCCTGTGATTATTCTGAAAGGGACTGAGGATACACTTGCCTGCAATGTCCAGCTGCATTTCCTGCTGCTAATAAAAAATTTAAGGGATACTTCTAATGCTTCTTCATAAGAATTATTGTATTTTTATGGATACTCTACCAGTTAACAAGTTTTCCCCTTTCTTCTACTTTCTGAGTAGATTAATCAGTGCCTGGCAGATTTGCTGAGTTTGAATTATAAGTATGTGAATTGTATTATTTTCTCCATCTATTAAGATACTAACATTTCTTTTTTGCTTTATGTGGTAAATTACACGGTGATACTGTTAGAAATATATTTGCTGACCATGATTTTTAGCATATAATATTAAAACATTCCAGATCTCCTTATATGATAAAGGTATGTAGGTATGTTTCTTGAAGCTAGGCACAGTGGTACTTGCCTGTAATTCCAGAATTGGGCAGGAGGAACATGAGTTCAAGGCCAACCCAGACTACATCGTGTTAGACTATGTTCCGAAAGGGAAAAAGAAAAAAGGTATGAGGGGCTGAGGGAAGGAAATGAGTGAAACATAAGCAAAATGTTAATCACTAACCCTGAGCCATTGGTATAGAGGAGTGGATTGCAATGCTCTGTATTTGAAAAGTGCCTCGTTTGTTTCTTGAGAACATGATCTCACTACCTAATCATGGCTGACTGGTACTATGTACCCTGGGAGACCTTGAACTCTAAGCAATCCTTTTGCCTCCGCCTCCTGAGCTCTGGCTACTTTCTTTCAAAATACATCCCTTATGAAGCTTTCCTTTCCTTTCCCACATTCTATTTAGCTAGCAACTTTCTCTCCTTTAATAGTTTGTTCACATCTTTACCATCACAGTACATTATTATGCCTACTTTGGAATATATCCCTATGCTGACAGTTTAAATTATTTTTTTACAAGTTCATTATTGAGTATTCACCATGCACAGGGACTCTAATATGCCCTAAGCATGAGTAATGAATAAAATAAATATGCTACCTACATTCGTTGCATGAAGAGACGGGAAACAACAAGTAGGCAAATGTGCAGTAAATGGTGGGCAGGAAACCTAAAGGATTCGGTCAATAGAGACTATTTGGAAAAGCAAGGTATTTCCAGATATTAAGGAAGACCTCTCAGAACAAGACACTCAGAACTCAAGGATTTGCGCGTTAAGGAACTGATATTTATGTCCCCCTCATAGTCACATGTTGAAATTTCAGTCACATATGATAGCTTCGGGAGGCAATTAGCACCTTTATTATTTTAGTGCTAACAACAAAACTTTTAAGCAGTATAAGAAGTTACAACACAGCAGGACGGTGGTAGCGCATCACTAGGCAGGCAGATGGATCTCTGTGAGGCCAGCCTGTTCTAGAGACCGAGTTCCAGGACAGGCTCCAAAGCAATACAGAGAAACCTGTCTCAAAAACAAACAAACACCCTGTCTCGAAAAACAAAACAAGTGAGAAGACCTTGTGCTCAGTTTTTAACCCAAGGCCAAGTGAAGTTAGGAAAACTGTCCTTGGAGTGACTGACTACGCATTAACCTGATCAACACCATACTAAGTTTGCAACAGCGAGGCTACCTGACCTGTTGTCTTCCGTGTTTACTGTTTGGGATAGGGTCACACCCGTCAAAGATCTTGGAGAGTACAAGGATTAAAGGCGTAGGCCACCATGCCTCAAGGGTAGAGTTGTTACCCCAGCAGCCCCACCAGATCAAAGCAGACAGGTCGCGGAGGGTTGGGGGGGGGGGGGAGAGGCTCGTTATGCTCCGCATGGTACTGCGACTAACAATTCGCACAAAACTGAATTGAACGTTAAGTCTGACACCGCAGAAAATAACGGCTTTTTGTAACTTGCTTCATCAAATCTCTACCTACATCCTGGCACGTTTTCTTCCAGTAACAGTTTTACACGAGCGCTTCGTTTTAAGCTGGCACCGGCCAGTAATTAGCGTTGCAGCGTGGGGCGGCGGAGGGCAGCCTACGCCCAGAAGTTTCCACACCTGGGCTGTCCCTGCGTGGGGCGGCAGAGCGGCCGCCAGCGGTACTCGCTCACTTCCGCGTGCCGGGCAGGAAGAGCGGGACAGCCCGCTGCCCGGGCCACCTTCCTCACCACCCACCGACCCCAGCCACCCACAGCCCGCTCCCGCCGCGCGGGTGAAGCTCGCAGCCCCGCTGGGGCCGCAAACCCCGCGATACCTCACCCCGGACCCGCCCACCCAACGGCCACTTCTAAACCACTGCGCACGCGCCATGCGGTCCGTAACGACTCGGCTCCGCCCTTCTTTCGTAACCCTAGGGAATGGCCGGGCGCTCCCCAGCGCGGCGCCGTGCCATCCTTACTCCCGCCCTCGTCGTCCCTGATTGGTTACCTGTCCTCGCGGGCGGCGTGGAACGTGATTGGCTAGTGATTCCGTCCAATCGGCGACGGGCTGTCCGATTCAAATCCAGAGCGTTGGGCCTGCGGTCGTTGGCCTCATTCGAGTCGTTGCGCCGGCCCTGGGCGGACGTGGAGCTCCCTGCGACCCGTTCCCTGCCCCCGTTTTCTCCTCCGCGCGCCGGCAGGATGGCCCACAAGCAGATCTACTACTCGGACAAGTACTTCGACGAGCACTACGAGTACCGGTGAGAGCGCCTGCGGAGGAGGCCCGCGCCGGGAGGGCAGGCCCGGCGGGCGGGACTCGGGGGTCCCTTAGAGGCCTCCGGCCGCGCCCTTTGGGGTTCGCAGGAGCTGCGGAGTCCGATGGCTCGTTCGGCAGCGCCTCAGCCGGGGGTTCGCCACCGCACCCGGCGCTCGCCCGGTCTGGCCCGGAGGGGGAAGTGCGGGGAGATGCGCGGGCCGCGGTTTGCGAGTGTCTGTTGGAGTAGCTCGACAGACGCAGCCACTCGGGGCCTTGTTAGAGCTTCGAGGGCAGCTTGGAAACTCGAGGTTGCCCCGGGAAGGTTTTGGGTCTCCCCCCTCTCCCCATTACCCTCAACTGCTCCTGTGTTTTGGCCTGGTGTGGGGCTGTTGAGGGAGTTCGGGTTCTGAACCCAGAGACGCTCTAGAAAGTACTGTAGTAAGCAAATAGATTGTGGGAAGTAGGGGGATGATTAGAGTCGGCTCTGTTTTAAATTCGTGCTGACCTGGGGTGTGGTCTCAAGGCCTTTCCGCCGCTGGGTCCTAACTAGGTTGGGACTAGAGCGTTGCATTCTGGGACACGGTCAAAATACCCAGGTGGGTAAAATCTAATGCCGCCCTTGGCCAAACAGTGACCGTGTTTTCTGTCTGCTGCCCTTTTAGGTTAGTCGCCAGCATGCTTTTTGAGAAATAAGACATTCTTTTGAGAGAGTGGACCACCCCACACACAATTTTCTCACGCCCCTAGTTAAGAAATCCTCACTCTTGGAAAACATTCTCTAATCTGTTTTACGATTTAGTAATATTTGAACTTGAATGCTTTTAACTAGGAAACTCTCGTGGGTTTTTTTAAACTATAAATTTTAATGTTTTTACATAGTAATTATAACCTTGTGAGCCAGCTGGCACAATATTCGATAGTTACAGTAACCCAAATCCCAGCTTGGGGATATCCAATAATCAAGAGAGAGTGGTTTTTACTGCTTTCCTAAATTTTGCAAATAATTCCAAGTGTTTAGCATACAGGCTTATGGGCTTGTATACATTTTAGGACATAATTGCCAGAGTGAGCTCATTTTTAAACTTGTGCTGTAAGTTGTACTTGTATTTGGAAGCTGCTGCTGGCCTGTCCAAAGTAATTTATTACAGTGTAACTTAGAAGTTGTCTCCTACCGCTGCTGTATTAGGAATGGAATGGAGAGCGCAGGAGGCTTATTTTGGAACCAGGTACAGATTAAATGGCTTTTCAAGCTTACCGTTCTGCCTAACTAAATCTTCCCAGTAGCTGAGATTATGGGTGTCTCTAGACAGATACCTGGCTGCATCTGCCTCCCAAGTCGTAGGAGTAAAGATGCACACCACCATAACTCTTTGGAGTCTGTCTTTACAGAAGGGAACATAGAGATCTGCCTGTGTTATTTGTGAAAGTAAATAGATAGGCATCACGTTTACCTTTGCAACACAGGGTATTTTGTACAGTCTTAAAAACTGGATATTTAGGATGAAGCTGTGGAGATCTCCCTGGGTTACACAGAAAGACAAAATAGTTATGAGGTGCCCTGAAATTTGGCAGTCCTTGCCTCCACTATGATCTGTGTAGCATCAAATAACAAAAATATTAAGTAGTATTTTAAGGAAATGGTAACTGGTTTGAGTAAGGACAGTTATATAGTTGCCTGGAAATGTCTAGGGGGTATGCCATGGTAGTAAGCATAATTTTGGAGTCATTTATCTTAAGTTTTCAGGATTATTTCCATTCAAATAATAAGCCACAGCCTAAAATCCTTGTTGTGGACAATTGGCTCATAGAAAGGGTTATGGATTGAGCTATCCCAGGTCCAAAAACCAGAACTGAATTGCACTTCTTGAATCTCTGTCTCATACTTAAAGTGATTAAAAATTACTAATTACTAACTTTGCATAAACTTAGTACCAGAAAGGGTAAAATGAGGCTGACAATCAAGGTTTTAGAAAAAGATACTTTGTGATAATTAAATGCTCTATTCAGGTAAGAGTGTAGATTTGTTTGTACATATATTTGTTAAAATTGTATGTATTTGTTTTGGCCCTGAATCAAGGCTGGCAGTTTGATGGAGCTGTTGGTTTCAAGCAGGAGCCTAAAGAAATGTCTTCCTATGGTCTGTTGGCCATTTCAGAAATTTGGAAATCTAATGGTCAATTCATTAGAAAGAAACAAATTGACTGGGTGGGTATTGTACGAAGTTCTGTAAATTGCAGTACTTGGGAGCCTAAGGCAAAAACATAAGGAATTTGAGGCTAACCTGCTCAACAGGAAGGAGAATGCCCTCTCCTCGTAAAACACTTCTATATATACAAGAACTTGTATATACTGCAGATCTAGTATTGTGTAACAGAAAACACATCGTCTTGCCCATTCTTCCCCCTCCTTTAGTAATCCCAGGTTGAGATGACTACTAATCCTGGGGCTAGTCTCTTTCCTTAACTCTTACCTGTGTAACTCACTATTATAATTACCTCTGGCTTTAGCTGCTGCTGTAGCTGTCCAGATACCATCAGTCTGTATCTAACAGGAAAAAGTGGCTATATTTTTAACTTTGATATAATCTTTTTCTTATAGTATGCATCTCAGAATTTTCTGCCTATATTTTGTAGACCAAGAGTTGTTTCATGATCAAAAGAAACTCTAGAAGAGGGTGACTATTCCTGAAATATTACTCAATAGCAAATACTCTAAAGAGTAAAATGCCTTTCATTTCTGTGCAGCTTACTATTGGCCTAATACTTGAACATAAGCCCTCAAAAGCCAGAAGTATAAGTTATAGGGAATACCCAAGATTGATACAAATAGTATTGTAATCTAGAGTTGCTTTAGAGAAATCTGTTTTGAGGACCAACCCTTCAAAATGTATTTGTCTCCATGGTAGTATAAAGTGATAATGGTGGGAAGACACAGCACTAATCTTTGGCTCAATCTTTTTTGACAGGCATGTCATGCTTCCCAGAGAACTCTCCAAACAAGTACCAAAAACTCATCTAATGTCTGAAGAGGAGTGGAGGAGACTTGGTGTCCAACAGAGTCTAGGTTGGGTTCATTACATGATTCATGAGCCAGGTAAGCTTTGCTATAAAATATTGACTAAATAGAAGTCTCTTAGGCTAGTGTATGATATTAACCAGTTTTCTAGATATTATGTAAAGAAAAACAATATTGTTATTAAAGTCTTGAGTCTGTGTTAAAACTTTCAAGGGATATGACACATATTTAAGAGTTCAAAGATTCTCCCTACTAAAGCAATGGAGGAACTTAACTACAGATTCCCAGCCTTTCTCACATTGAATTGGGAGGTATTAGGTCGACTCCTGGTTTAGTTATCTTTATCTTTTGGAATTAAAGTCTTCCTAGAGTCTAAATGTTCCATCTTTTCTTAGCTAAATGCAGGGAATACACCACGCCTTGCTTTCTGATGGCTTGTTTTGTGTGCTAAAATTAGACCTTTGTATTTGCTAGGCAAATACTCCCACCACCATATACAGCCATTCTATGCCATACATATGTTCAACATTGATTTTTCTGAAGTGCATTAGCATGAGATCCAATAGCTACTTTGGATGAGATACTGGTTTCACATTTATCTTTTCACTGGGAATGAGATTTTGCAGGTAGAAGCCATTCTCTCCAGAATAAACTAAAGATCTAAACAGTGGAGCAAAGCTATTATGAGATAGTTTGCCTGTGTTTGGTGTTTGTTATATTGAGACTAAACACTTAATAGTGACTAGTTGTTGGCATGAAACTTAATGATGAATATTTCCTTTCCACAGAGCCGCATATTCTTCTCTTTAGACGACCTCTTCCAAAAGAACAACAAAAATGAAATGCAGCTGGGATCGCCTAATCTTTTTCAATTTAATGTATATGTGTATATAAGGTAGTATTCAGTGAATACTTGAAAAGTGTACAAATCTTTCACCCATACCTGTGCATGAGCTGTATTCTTCACAGCAACAGAGCTCAGTTAAATGCAACTGCAAGTAGGTTATTTTAAGTTGTTAAAGATAAATTTTCTTGTAGTTTTTTTTCTTAATATAAGTAGTGCCTGTTTTACTTTACCTGTTACTTTTGTTAAATAAAGTTTGTATGTTGCATTTATCACTGTTGAAATTTGACTTGACTCATTCAATCATTTTAGCCCTGGAAGAAATAAACATACTTTAAAAAAGGATTAAAGGCGTACACTACCGCCCAGTTTACTGGGGATATTTAACCTATTAAAGTCAAAATAGACTTTCACTTTATTGGTATTGTTTCCCAGATAACTGAATTCTTCAAGTGAACAGAAAAGCCCACAATGTCTACAGAACACCAGTGGTTTCAGAGAAAACTGAGGAAGCATTGGGATGGGGGGAGGGGTGCACATCTTTAATCCTGGCATTAATGAGGCAGAGACAAAGTTCCAGGACAGCCAGGGCTACAGAGAGACCCTGTCTTGAAAAACCAAAGGGGGGGGCACTGAAACACCATATGTTTACATCTGCTGTCTTTTTGTCGGCCAGGAAATTAAGTATAGACACATTAGTAGATTGCCATGAGAAATGTAACATAAGACCCTGATTAGGCTGGGCAGTGGTGACACACAACCTTTAAAGTCATCAAGGCGAATTCCGTCCTTTTTCAAGACAACCAGGGCGACACTGAGAAACGCTGTCTTGACTGCCCTCTCCTAAAAGACCCTGATTAGATTAACAAGGGTGACTTGCACTAGAACAGTAAACACTAGTGAGCAAGGCTTGGGTGTGCGGGCATGTATGGTAAACAGAACTGGAGGTGTCCTGTCAATTCTAAACCTGCAGTCTGCAGGTGACTTTACTCTGCCCTTGGTTCTCTTCACAGTTCTGTGTTCGTCTCTTCCCACTGTTTTGCTGAGGCCCCCACCCACCCCCACCCCCCCCCCCCGTTCTCCAGACACAGCACAGGTTTCTCAGACAACTAAACATTCCACCCTTGGGTAGTTCTGGTTTCTTAACCTGCCTGCCAGCACCATACTTTGCCATCCTATCTCCCCTAGAATTCTACCCGACCTTGCTGGCCTCCCTCTTTCCTCCTTGAGCCTCCACCACCTTAGTGAGGGCCTGTCTGGGAACTCGGAGCCTGCGCTCCCTCCTACTGTGCATAAGCAGAGCTCAGCAGCAACTCTCCCCAAGAGCAGCCGCACTGGCTCTCTTCCCACGTGCGCCCCTTAGACCCGGGCCGCCAGGCACTTCCGGCATAAAAAGGCTTCCGTCGCGTTTCAGTGACGTACATCCCGGCGCTGCCGCGCCTGTAGGCGGAAACGTCGAGTCGTTGGTTGGGCCCGTCGCTCGCTTCACGGCGCGGGCTCTTCCGTGGCCGCCATGGCGTCGGAGCGGCCGCGGGAGCCCGAAGGCGAGGTAAGGGGCGGGCTGCGGGCCTAGGCACACGCGCGGGGCCACCAGGGCTGAGGTTCGGGGTGGGGCGGCTGGACCCTCCCACGGCTCGGCCCGCCGAGTGATGCCACAGAGGCCACCTTCCGCCCTCGGCCCCTCTCACCGCGTCTGCGGGACCGCTAGGGGGCGCACCGGAGGCCTCAAATCTCTAATTGGCAAACAGTGGTGAAGTTGTCAGAATGATCTTACTCCCCATTGCAAGACAAAGCTCAATTTTGAATTCCAGGGACTTATGACCATGAGATGGGTTTTTTCGTAAAGGTCATATGTGGTATACTAAGCACAAATCGAATATTTGGTGGTTTTTGTTAAATGGCAATACATTTCGGCAGTGTGTTTTTAACTACAGTTTTGAGCATTCCCTGGGTATATCGGGCTACAGTAGGTTCAGGATTCTTATGTATCTCATGTATAAAGATGAGAGAGGTAAAAATAACTGTTTCCAAGTTTAAATCCTCAGAACTGGTCCAAGTTGTGGTTCCTATTACATAACAATGTTGGATTTGCTTCGACTTTAATTCAAGGTCAACACTTTCACGTCTTTTTCTAATAAAAAAGAAAAGAAAAAAGAAAGCATTGAGGAGATATTGTTACCAAAGAAAGTTTTGTCTTTGCTGTGCACCTTTTAATCAGCATTGGGCTTGTTAAAGCATCTTTCTTTTGGTTTTTGTCTGCATTTGGCAAATCTCAGAGTGTTATAGCCCAACCCACCCTTTCTTCCTCAGGATAGCATCAAATTGTCAGCCGATGTCAAACCATTTGTCCCTAAGTTTGCTGGGCTCAATGTGGCGTGGTCAGAGTCCTCAGAAACACGTGTCTTCCCAGGCTGTGCAGCCAATTACTACCCATTTGTGCAGGAATCACCGGTGACTGAGTATGTATTTTCTAAATGCCTTGCCTTATGTAAGAGGTTTAGTTCCTGGAGACAGTGTTAATCACATACCTCCACATACATGAAACATACTAGCATCTTGCAGGCGAGCAGAGAAAGCTCTTTGCCCAGGAAAGATTCTGGTCTGCAACGTAACTGTACTTTGCTAAAGTCAAGGACAGTCAAGGACAGAAACGACTGAACTTCCTAGAAAGTGCAGGTGCATGGTTCATTTTTTCACAATAAAACTCATAAATTTAGGACCTGGGGTTGCCCCTCAGCAGTAGAGTGCTTGCTTGCCATCATCCAACGCAGGCTTGATCCTAAAAGCCACCAAAGCAAAACGGAACCAAATTCACATTTGTATGGGAAAAAGAAATGGGAAGGGGGCAGAGAAAGGATCAGGTAGAGAACATGACAAACTGGGCAACTTAGCAAGACCCTGTCTTACAACAAAGTAAAAACTAGACTGGAGTTCTGTAGCTCTGTGGTAAGCTCTTTCTGCCATAGGCCTCAGGTTCTATCCCCACTCTACTGGCTAATTATTAAGGTGTCTGTGTTGTGTGACTCCCTGCGTCTGTGCTGCGCAGTATCCACTTTGTACCCACAGCACAGTGCAAGGTTTGGTGGAGGGATTGAAATGGGAAGGATCCTGGGGTCCTGGGGAGAAACTGTGCAGGCTGTAGGGCAACTGCTCAGCAAAGGGAATGAATGGCCTATTGGCTTTTGAGCCCAGGGCTGCAGAGGCATTGTCGAGGACTTGGCACGACAGTAGGGTGCAAAACTATTGGTCCGTATTCTTTCTGTGCTGACACGGCATAGGAACTTCCTGTTCAACTTGTGACTACTTTGGATTAAATCCGTGGCCTTGTGCATTTTATAAAAACTGTTTACCATTGAGCTCCATTGCCCAGCTCTAGCTCATTGGTTTTAAACAAAAGGTCAACAACACTCTTTGCAGGAAGGAAAGGAGGTTCTCTTTGGCTGTATATGCATGCACATGTGTTTTGTATGTGTGTGGTATGCACACATGTGCATGTGAGCGAATGGCCACGTGTGTGCACATGCACACAGAAGCCTGAGGTTGATGTTGAGTCTTTTGTCAGTTGTATTTTTCTTTTTTGAAAAAGCATCTCACTGAACCTGAAGCTCATCAGTCGGATGGACTGGTTCGCCATCGAGCTTCAAGGATCTTCTCTGCCTGGCTGCAGGCTGGAGTCACAGACACATCCTGCCACACACTGCTTGCCACAGGCTCTGGAGACCAAACTCAGGCCCTGTGCTTGTGGTGCAGGCACTCTACTGACAAGCCATCTCTGTACCCTTCCTTCGGTTGTTGATAGGGGAGTTTCCAATGCTAGAGTAAATGATCCAAAAAAACAAAACAAAACCAAACAAAAAACAAAAACAAAAAAACCAAAACTAAAGAGTTTAAATTATGTCTTAAAAAATTATCATCCTTGGTTTGTGTTATGAAGTCTGCAACTGAAATTTACACTTTTTAGACAAAAAGTTTATCCTGAAGACATGGCCTTTGGAGCCCCTGCATTTCCAAGGCAGTACGTATCTTCTGAGATAACACTGCATCCGTTTGCCTATTCCACTTATGCCCTTGAGTCTGCACAGAGTGTCTGCTCAGTGCCAGCCCTGCAGTATGATTACAGCCAACCTCAGTGTCACCCAGGCTTTCGGACAGCAAAGCCCCAAAATGAGTACACGTGTCCTCCTCAGGAAGCAAAAGGTGTATTTAAGGTGAGGAAATGCTGTGGTTTTTTAGTGTCCTGACGTTGATCATTTGATTGTTTAAAGTGTAAGAAGTTAGCATGTTGCATTCAAGTATTGCTTACCTTTTTGTAATAATCAGCTTTTTTACATGTGGTTTGGTCTGTTTTTCCTTAAATGCTTGGGTTGTGAGTACTTACTGGTTTGCTCTATTAAAGTTTCTTTCTCGGTGTGGTAGTAGTTTTCTCATTTCATACTGTTTCTTTTTAATTCTCTGCTGCAGAAAAGATCCTCCGATGAGAGAAGGCCATGTGATGAGCTAAAGTCAAGCAACAGAAGGGCCGACAGTGCAGTGGCACCCGAGATGAGACCGGCTAGAGGGTCCTGTCATCTGGCCACTCGTGCCGAGAGCAGTTTGAGAGCAGGTAAACTAGCAAACTTGTGTAATGCCCGTCATCGCACCTTCCCAAAACAGTACCATCCGGTGGGATTGTGATCATGACTGCTCCAAAGAAAATGTGTCCTGGAGCCTGGCCTCGTTGAGGCCATCAGACTCGTGGTGGTGGTTTCTAGACATCATTTCTTTCAGGCAGTGATGGGGGATGGGAAGGATTGTACAGTGGGGTGTGTGTTGCTTTGTATACCTAGAAGGTTCCGTAGCCTATTAGGACCACCACATAGCATGCAAGTAATGGCCTCGAGGTTCAGAACATCCCTTTAGTTCAGATCACATCCATAGTCTTTACTGTGTGTGTGTCCATGCTCACGCCTGAACTTGCTTCTCCATTGTGAGGTAATAGGAAGATTTGGCGGTAGTTAAAATCCCATGCTAAACAGTGCCAAACCTGGGCATTCCTGTTACTAGAGATTACACATTCATTTCCCAGCTGGAAGATATTCCTGTTTACACCTGGCTGAAAGCTAGGGAGTCTACCTGATACCTGTATTGTTTTTAGTTTGAAGACTAGGCCTTACTGTGTAGACCAACCTGGCCTTGAACCCTCTTGGGCCTCCTACCTAGTCTCCTAAACTCTGGGATTATTTTAATATACCTCTATGCTTAGGAAAAGCTATTTCTAGGATCACTGCCTCTGAGTTTTCACAGAGAATTCCCAGTTGTATGTGTTCTTCCTATAAATCATTTACTAGTACTGTTTGGCCATACACACAGCTGTTTCTTTTCTTTTCCCTTTTTAAAAATGGTTTATTTACTTTTATTTTATGTGCATTGGTATTTTGCCTGCATGCACCTCTGTGTGAAGGTGTCAGATCTCCTGGAGCTGGAGTCTCAGGCAGTGGTGAGTTGCCATGTGGCTGCTGGGAATTGAACCCAGGTCCTCTGGAAGAACAGTCAGTGCTCTCAACTGCTGAGCCATCTCCTCGGCTCCCACAATTATTTCTATAATGACTTACAGTTTTGCTATTTTTGTTGTTGTTTGGTTGGTTTTGGGTTTGATTTGGTTGCCCTGCAACTCATAGAGATGGATTGTCTATTTGTGCCACCAAATGGATTAAAGTGTGTGTCACTTCATCGAGCTTATGGCTTGTTTTTGTGTACTTAATCTGGGATATGAACTTAATGTGTAATTCTATCACTTGGTTTAATAAACTTTTTCTGTTCTCATCTACTCTACTTATGAACCACCTGGCACATGAAAATCAGTGTTAAAGGTACTAGCTTTGGACTTATATGAAAATCAGTGTTAAAGGTACTAGCTTTGGACTTATATGAAAATCAGTGTTAAAGGTACTAGCTTTGGACTTATATGAAAATCAGTTTTAAAGGTACTAGCTTTGGACTTATATGAAAATCAGTTTTAAAGGTACTAGCTTTGGACTTATATGAAAGTCAGTGTTAAAGGTACTAGCTTTGGACTTACAATTTGATGAGGGATTCATGGAACTGCAGCCATCTCTCACTATCCTTGGCACTTAGTATGGGAAAGAGGTCAAAAAGTTTATACCACAGTGTCCATCTACTTTGCTCCAGCAGATGGAAACAGGGGAAGCTGGTTAAATATGGGGAAATCTGTGAGATTCCCCTTAAGTTTGCCCAACTCAAAATCATGAGCAATTCAGGTGTGCAGCTGTGCGGGCAGTCCTGGCTGTCATTTGATCAGCTTTAGATTTATTTCAGAAATGTGCATCCCGGGAGATGCCTCTTGTCATTCGTATCTGCAAAGGTTAGCAGTAGGAGCGAGCTTGAGTGTGTTAACAGCAGCCTGCTGCATCTACTTGCTGCTCTGAAGTTCAAGTTTGAGCGCTAGTGAGCAAGCTGTAACCTGACTTTTATCCCAACTTTTCATCCTGCAATTACAGATGGTTATCACAAGCGAACAGACCGAAAATCCAGAATCCTTGCAAAAAGTGTGTCTGCCACCAAGCCTGAATTTGAATTTAGCAGGTTGGACTTTCCTGAACTTCAGAGTCCAAAGAACAGTAATGTGCAAGAGACACAGAAGCAGGCCCGGTGGGGACCGCTTGGCTCTGCTGCCAGTAACATGTCTCTCCTGGGAGATGTACGCAAGCCAGTTGCAGAGATGGTAGAGGTGAGTCTTCTCTATTCTCTGCACATGCTTCTGTGTCTGTCCTCTGTCACTTGAAACACTGTGTATGCTAAACCCTACTCTGGGTTGTGAAGACCACATTGCTCGGGAAAGAGCACTGGGGAGAGGCCTTGACTACTCTGCACTTGGCCAACCTGATTATAACAAGATGTACCATCTGGAGCTGCTGTCTCCAAAGGGTTTCTCTGATGTGCTTCCTTTAAACCTGGTAGCAGAAGGTGAAGTGCAGTGCCTCAGGAGGAGGTTCTGATAGAGTGACAGCATTTGAAGAGACAGGGAAGTGTGGTGAGGTCACTCAGCATGCTGTCCATTGACCTCCAAACACGCACTGCGGCCCTTGCATACCACCTCCCACATACACAAATAAGTAAATACTAATATTTATAGCTTCTAAAATGTCTAGGCTCTTACCTATATCTCAGTCTTACCTCATTAATTACAGTAAATTCTGCAGTGGTTACTGCAATGGTCTCCAAGTTTTACTCTACCAAATCAAACCATTTTGTTTTCCAAAGACTGACTCATAAATCTAGGGACTGAAAAGTAGTGATTCATTTTAATTACTTTTTCTTGGTATGACCAAGGTACCTGACATAGAACGTGAGGGAAGATTAGTTTGGCTTATGGTTTCAGATTGTACAATGCATCATAATGGGAAGGGATGGTGGGCATGTTAGGCAGTGGCTTGTTCACGTTACGTGGACAGGAAACTGCACATCTGAACCAGAGCAGGGTATAACCTTCAGAAAAGGTGACCCTGCTTCCAGCATTTAGTTTCTATGCCCTAAAGGTTCCACTGTCTCCTCAAACAGTACTCCAACCAGAAGTTGGGGTTACTTTTGTTTGTGTGCTGCTTGCATGGGGGCTGGGCACCAAACTCGGTTTTCTGCAATTGCTGTGTAAGTTTTTAACTGCTGAGTCATCTCTGCAGCTCTGCACTTGTTTTTAAAAGAATACCGTGCACAGTGGGGGACTGTGGGTCAGCTCAGGGGGAACAGGGCTTGCTATGAGGAAGGACCTTAGCTTGAATCCCCAAAAGCAGCAAAATAGTCAGACATAGCCCATGTCTATAATCCCAGGAGAACCTCTGGCTGCCAGAGACAGAATCACCCAAAAGCTAGGACCAGCCAGCCTGGAAGAGGTTCCCAGTGGTAAGCAAGAAACCCTGTCTGAAACAAGTTGTAGGACAGGAACCCAAGCCTGAGGTTGCCCTCTGACCTCCCCAGCATGCATCATGCCATAGCTTCAGCAACACAAACAAGATTTTTTTTTTAATTCTTCTAAAATAACAATGATAATGCACAGTGGAAATAAAAGAGAGTTCCCTCAATTAGGGAGTGTCCATGTATGTTCTTAATATTTAAAATCCTTTGGGGGCTGGGTGGTGGTGACACACACCTTTAATCCCAGCACTTAGAAGGCAGAGGCAGGCGGATCTCTGTGAGTTCCAGGATATCCAGGACTATTACACAGAGAAACCCTGTTTTGAAAAAAACCAAAAATAAGTAAACACATAAATAAAATAAAAATAAATGAATAAATAAAATCTTTAGGGTTTTTTCATGTTTTATTGACTTTTTTTATAATAACTATTGCTTTTGGATGTAGCCTATTGCTAGCTGTAATTCATTTAAACCATCTTGAATAAGTAAGTTGCTTATAGTTTTCGTCAGTCTTTATAAGCTGACAGTTATGTTTATAAAAAGCACAGACATTTTGTTTTGGGGTGTGAGGGTGTGTGTCTGTGTGCGTGCGTGCGTGCGTGCATATATGTGTGGTGCTGAGGATAAGTGGAGGTACTGACCAGCCTAGGCAAATGTTCACTTGCTGGGCTGTATCCCTGAGCCTAGGCTATGTTCTAATAATTGTAATTAGGTTACTGAACATGCTAGAATAATAAAATAGCAAGTAGAGTACATTTATAGAATATAAGATCCTAAAAGTCCCGCTTCATAAGAAGGTTCAGGCTTTCTTGACTTTGTGGATATTTAGATCTGATTGGTTTGTTTATTTGTTTGTTTGTTTTGTTTTAGTATGTGAACTTCATTTTAGGACCATTGAGTTTTGGGGATTTTGTTGTTTGTTAATTTGAGACAAGGTCTATTATATAGTTCTGATTGGTCTGGAACCCACTGTGTAGACCAGGCTGGCCTCAAACTCACGGAGATCCACCTGTCTCTGCTTCCCAAGTGCTGGGATTAAAGCCCTTGCCACCACTCCCAGCCGGACCATTGCATTTTAAGAATTACAGAAGTGAAGGATATTTATTTGCTCAGTTATGTTCATAGCAGTATTATTCATAATAGCCAGAACCTGGAAATGACCTAGATGCCCCTCAACTGAAGAATGGATAAGGAAAATGTACATTTACACAGTGGATTACTACTCAGTGATAAAAAACAATGACATACTGAAATTCACAGGCAAATGGATGGAAGTAGAAAAAACCATCCTGAGTGAGGTAACCCAGATCCAGAAAGACAAATGTAATATGTACTCACAAGTGAATATTAGACAAAAAAATAATAAATAAAATAAATAAATAAATTATAGAAGGGGAGGGATACTGTCCTGAAAAGTTGTTTATGGGGTATATGGGTATAATTTTTTTTTTAACTTTTATTTGTGTGTATGAGTATGTATGGCCATATACCACCACATGTAAAACTTTTATTCACTATTGATAGTATATAAAAGTTGCATGTTATTTAAAGTAATGTGGTGTAGTTATTGGCACTTGTGTGAAAATAATATACAATGTTTACATTGTAGGCAGAGTGGTTGAAAGGTACTACCTAAGCTGTAGACTTCAGGTAGTCTTTTTTTTTTTTTTTTTTCCTCCACTCTAGGGGAAATTTCGTTGGGAAAAAAGTAATTAACTTTAGATATTTGGCCCCCATCACCCTGAAAGTAGACCAGCCTGGCCTTTAACTCAGATTTCCTCTTGCCTATTCTTCCTGAGTGCTGGGATTAAAGGCATGTGCCACCATGCCTGGCTGATATTTGGAATTTTTAATTAGCATGTTTTTATAGGTTTTAGGAAATCAGGGAAAGCTATGTTTAAAAATTGAGTGATTCCATTCTGTTTGAGATAGCAAATAACAGGCTGGATTCTGTGTGCTTCTTTAATGATATTGTTTGAGAGTAGTTTTAGGATCACAGCAAATTGAAAGGTGGGGATAGTCTTTCCCATTTGCTGCCTGCCCCGTTCATCCACCCCCAGCTTCCACGTCAGTCCACCCCTGTGGTGCGTTACAGTCACACAGCTCCATGGGCGTGCCACTTGCCCCTGGCATTCCTATTTAACATCTGCGTCACTGCAGGTGGACATACATGAATAACATGTGGTCTTCGTTGTGTCGTGAAGAGTAACTTCGCTGCCTCAAAAGTCTGTGTTCCACCTGTGGACTGTCCACAGCAGCTGCAGCCTCCGATCATGTCTTTTCTGGAACACTAAAGAGTTGGAGTCACATGTTGTCACATGTTGTGTAGCTGCCTTCACTTGGTAACACGCACTGGTCTGTGTTGTCAGCTCAGTTGTTGGCCATTGCCTCCTTTCCCCAGGGGCGTCCCACGGGGCCGTCCCCACCCCAGATGGTCACTGTTGTATGACTTGGTCCTTCTCAAAGGAGTGTGGTTCAGTGTGGTTGTAAATGAGTTTTCCTAATGTTAGATGGCCTCTTTGTAGGGAAAAATGGTGAAGGCCAATCACACAGATGGAGCTGTGACTGACAGTGCTGCCACCAGTGCCCCTTCATGTACACGAGGTAAGAGTGACCACACAATGCTGGCTTTTAAGCACCGCTAGTGCCAGTATCATTTAGTGTAATGAGTTTTTAAAAACTGGCATCAGTGTTAGTTTAGAATATCGGAGCCCATATCCATGACAGTCAGTATAAAATGAGAGTCCATATTCTAAATGAACAGAAGTCTTGGTAAATGAGAATTTTATGAACCCAAAAATGAGAACTTCTTTTAATACTGTAGGGTGCAGTATACTTTTAACATGTCAGAGTCCCAGAGCAGCTATATATTTAAGTGATAACTGTTAATATTGGCATTATTCAAAGTTAGATCAAGTTTTAAAACAAACACTACTTTATGGACAGGCCAGTAACCCCAGTATTTGGGAGACTGAGGCAGGACAAGTCCACAAGTTCAAGAGCAGCCTGGTCTACAGTAGTTCTGGAGCAACTTCATCTTCTCAATGAGAATCTGTCTCATAAAACAACAAACCCTCCCCTTAAAACAATGCATTGTATTTTAAATACAATGAATTTTTATAAAAAAAACAAAAACAAAAAAATAACCCTTTCCATAATTAGAAGACTACTGCTAGAGTAGCCTTGTTTTGTACGTTTTTGAACATGTAGCTCTGTGAGTCTGATTTGGCATTTGGCTCTTCCACTGGTAATGCCACGCGGTCTTTGGAGCACCACAAGGGATGCTCCTTAGAGTGAGGAGTGAGGGAGACTACCAGGAATTTTTTCTCTTGCCAAGAAAACACAACTTGGTGGGCTTTCAGCAGCCAGGTATTCGGGGAGTGCCAAGGGGATTGCTCTTCTAAAATGGTTACAGGGCACTTCCTAGCAAAGAGTCCAGCCCATTCTTTGGTGCATGGGCTCTTGTGTTTAGTGTGGTGTGCCCAAAGGTTCTTCACTGCCAAGGCTATCTCAGTAGTGTGGCTGACATGCATTTGTCATCCCTGTCATGGTGGATGTCCTTTTGTTTGATGTATATGTAGAGTTTCATGCGCAGCTAAGGAGTGGCTTTAGTGTGCTTACATTGTGTTGTAATGAAGTAAGTTACCAGTCACTGTGACGGCACAGGTCTGCAGATCCTTGATTTCTGCTTTTAAAGGCTCAGAGCAAGGTTGACAGGCCCAAAGTGGGTCTTTGTTCTTTAATTCTGTGTTTGCCACATTAATATTTTGTGAGTTGATGTTCTTGTTTAATCAAAACTGATTTGCCTCCCCATCTATGTTATGCAAATTAAGAAATCTAGGCAAACAGTTAATGTATAAGTTAAAGGGGAAGAGACCGAGTATGCACTCTTCCAGAAGGAAAACAAGCAGAGTTCATACTGTAGTCCTAAGGTCGTGTTCTGAACAGTCAATACTGTAGTTCTAGGAGGTGTTCTAGACAGTGGGTGAATACTGTCGTTCTAAGGGGTGTCTAGGCAGCTGGTTGGTAGATACTGTAGTTTCCCAAGTGGTGTTCTAGGCACCATCATTTTTGTTATGCTGTGAATAACTCAATATCACAAGGTGCATTTTTGAATACCAAGGAACTCCCGTTTACTGTTGAGATTGTTCGGTAATTACGGTTATCTTTAAGCAGAGTTATCTTGGACACCAATGGGTTATATTGTTCGGCAGACAGTGTCTTCAGGATCAGTGGCAGCAACTGAAAGCGTTAGCTCTGTGATGAATCTAAAGAAGACTGCTTCATCAGCTGATGCTAAGAATGCCAGTGTGACATCTGAGGGTTCATCTTCAGATCCCTCCTACAACAGGGAGAAGTTTGTTCATCCGGTTACAAAGGTTTGCATCACTGGGGACAGTATGGGACTGGAGTGGTGGCACTTGGGAGGCTGAGGCAGGAGGACTGTAAATTCAAGGGCAGCCTAGGCGACACAGTGAATCCTTGTCTCCAAAATAGCGGTTAAGATAAAATAGCGGTTAAGATGGTCAAGTGTCATGGGCTGGGAAAAGAGTGGGCAGTTAGTGCTTACTGGTGACAGGGTTGGGCAAAGCTCTCAGGTTTCCTGCTTATAGTAATGTGTGCGTGGATGTAGTGCACTGGCCTGTGTGTGCACTGAGCATGCTTGGATGGTCCAGTTATGTTGCATGCCGTACACCGTACACGGTAGGGACCAGGAGTGAGGTGTTGCCTCCTGCTGAGTCTGGCTCTGCTGCGCTTTCTTCTCAGCCCCTCGCTGAGAGTGCTGCAGTCTCTCCCATACTAACCAGCTCTCTGTACCTGAGCCTTGACAAGAGAACGGGGCCTTTGTCAGGGAATGAGAGAGCTTTACTCTGTGAGAAGAGGTGTCTTAGAAGAGCACCAGCATGTTGAGAGAGAGAGCGTGCCTCATGCATGCTAGGACTCTAGCCCAGCCATGCTCACAGCTCTTGAATTCTGTAAAGAAGAGCCGCTGCCGTAAGTTTCTGCTGCTGTCTGGTGATGCACCCTTTTCCTTCTCTTTGTTCAGTGCCATTGAAAGAACTAGTGCGTGGGCTAAAGTCATGGCAATAAAATAATTGAATTTCAGGGCTTGTGATCACCTGGCACATGCTATTAATTTCAGTTTACCTGTTATAAGGTAGGGTTTCAGAATAGCTTTCCCCCTTAAATTCATGAAGTTTTTAAAGGGGTCTTTTTTTTGTTTGGTTTTGAGGTGGGGTCACACATGGTAGCTCCAGCTGGCCTGGAACTCCCAATAGTCTCCAAGAACTGGGGTTGCAAGTGTGAGCCCTTGTGTCCTTCTCTGACCTCCTCCAGGGACTGAGTCGGGGTAGCACGGCAGCCTTCTCCTGATGGGTGAACTCTGCCGGGTTAGAGCAGCTCTAATAAAGCCCTGTGCTGACAGGGTTTGGTCAGACACGATGAAAGTGCAGGTAGAGACACAGCAGAAGGGTTAGCACTCAAGAGAAAACCTAGCAAGTCACCGAACAGAGAGAGTAGCCAGCCAGAAATGAGCTGGGCCGGACAGAATGAGCAGTCCAACATGAGCAGGACGTATAAGAGCCCCAGGGCCAGGGTGCAGCAGCCCCAGGAGGAGCAGGTTGTGGGGTCTGTGGAAGTGGGGGTCAGCCTTGCAGGCTTGGGGCCAGGCTGCAGTTTGTTAGCGATCCCGGAGTGTGACACCCATGCAGACGACAGGAACCTGCCTTGGTGGCTGGCAGGAATGGCGCACCTGCATGTGAGCGGCACTCTAACCGCCTGACTTCTCATGTGAGTGCTCCGTCGTGTCCAGGCCCACAAGCCTCCAGGAAAGCAGTACACTTTGTTTTAATTTTGTTCTGCCATAGGTCAGAGGCTATTCAGTACCCTAATATCCCACAGTTTTTTTCTTTTGTGTTTTTATCTAGGCCAAAGCATTACAAGGGGGAGACCTCGAACAAAATGAAACCTCAAGAAAGAATAAGAAAAAGAAAGAAAAGTCTAAACCAAATTATGAAGTCCTGACAGTTCAGGAGCCACCAAGGATTGAAGTATGTATTTACTCTGAGGTTTGTGTGAGAATTTAACAGTCTGCCAGGCAGTGGTGGAGCACGCCTTTAGCCCTAGCACTTGGAAGGCAGAGGCAGGTGAATGTCAGTGAGTTCGCCTGATCTGAAGATTGAGTTCCAGGACAGCCAGGACTGTTATGCAGAGAAACCCTATCTCGAAAACCTAAAAAAATAAAAAAATTTAGCACTCCTCTAGCATGGTAGTGCATGCCCATGCTCCCAGCAATTGGGAGGCAGAGGCAGGAGGATTGGGAGTTGAAAGTCATCCTCAGCTACACACGGAGTTCCAGGATACAGGATAGCCAGGGCTACTTGAGAACCCGTCAACAAAAAAGAAGAAAAAAAAGAATAGCATCGTCTGTCACCTTTTCCTCCTTCCCAGCCTCTCCCTGCAGACCCTCAGTCAGCTCATGAGTATCCACATGGCTGACAACTGGCTGGAGTCTTGTAGCTGCTATTCCACACCACTCATGCCCCCGCCCCCGCCCGTCTCCTCTTCCCTGTGTTACTCACTTTTGGTGCCAGATTTCCTAGGGCCTCCTTTTCTTACCATGTACCCTGTGAAGTGCTTCACTATTGGAGGGAAGTAAAGACACCATAGGTTTCTTATAGACTCCAGTCAACGTATTGTCCTGGGATCCCTGTACTCAGTTCACATACACTAAAGAGCCAGCCTGCGTTCTGACTGCATTTCACACTGGCCTGTTTCTGTTTTTCACACTCCCCTACCAGACGTGGGGCCTTGCTGTTTGTATAGGCACAAGATCTCCCAGGGCTGCTGCCCACTCTCGGAAGTCTTGGAACATTCCAGAATAAGGTTAGGTATAGGGCAGAGTGTTGTGCTTAGGCCAGTTCACTGGCGGTGCTTTTGCCCTTTAATTCCGACGTGACTTATCCCGGGGCACCCAAAGTGCTGACAAAAATTCCAACAAAATGATGTGATTTTAATTTTTTTAAGCAGGCTTATTGCCTCTCTCTGTTTATTGCCCTGTTTGGTATAAGTCCCAAAGTATTTAAATCTGCTGATTTTGGATTTCTGAGTTTTTCTGCTGAAAAACATAAGTCTTTTAAAAAACAGGTTTTTTGATAGTCTTGTGTTAAGGTAGTATGGTCAGTTCTGGGGCCTCCTGCGGTACGTAGGTGTTAGAGCTGTGGTCTTAAAATGTGCTCTAAGAGTTAAATAAAGTCGGAACTTCCATGTTAGGTAGCATTTGTGGAGATGTTGTATAATCACCCCAACTTTTGTGAGTCTCACAGAAAACTGAGTCAGGGAGAGCTTTTATGTAGCTGCTCATCACCCACGTAGGAAGGTGACAGTGTACTTTCCTCAGGATGCCGAGGAATTCCCCAACCTGTCGGCTGCATCTGAAAGAAGGCACAGAGTAGAATCCCCGAAACTTCAGAGTAAACAGCAGGTGCAGGTAAGTTTTAGAATGCAGCCGCTGTCGCTTCCGACGTGACTGCCCCGTACACGAACTGTTGAGAGAATCTGCTCTCCTGTGTCTTCATGGAAGACTTTCTTCTGATGTGTTCTCCCAAGGAGAACAGCTTGACCACTGCTAAACGGAAGCAGCCTGTGCCTTTTGAAATAAGACTTGGTAATTACAGTTGCTGTCAGGAGAGGGCCACACTGCCTAGAAGCTAAAGAGGGAAGCACTCTTTTACCCTGCCCAGTCAGGACTGAGTCAAGGGAGACCATAGTTCTAACCAGGTAGCCTCACACAAAAACTTTAGGGTTTTTGTTTGAGTTTTTCAGGACAAGGTCTCACATTAGAGCTTAGGCTGGCCTTGAACTTGCAGCAGTCCTTCGTCCTCAGCCTCTCAAGGGTTAGGGTTATAGGGATTTGCCTCCATTCCTACCTTCACAGACTCCTGTAGCCAAAGATTTCACATAAGCTTTGCAGTATATGCTGTTAACCCAAAGTGGAGATATAGATAGAAATGGACAGGCATAACCAACCACAGTAATGGTGGCAGGTAATGTGAATTTTATACTCTCTTAATCTGTTCCTTTAATCTTTTTAAAAATGTAAATCATGGTGTGTAAAACACAGTGTCCAGAGTAAACTTGTAAATTGTTCTTTGTAGAGTGATTTTAAAAGTGGTGGAAAGAAGAGCCAGACCCCGGTGCAGCTGGACCTGGGGGGCATGCTGGCAGCGCTGGAGAAGCAGCAGCAGGTCCCGCATGCCAAGCCATCCTCCAGGCCCGTTGTGTTCTCAGGTAGGTGCCTTTGCACTTCAGCAAGGGCTCAAAACTGTCCTGAGGCCGTTGTGTAAGCATTTCCTTCTTCCTGAGAGTTACCTATCACCACCACAGAGGGTGCTGAGATTAGCCTGGCCAGTGAAAGGGAGTAGAGGATCCAGAGATGAACCTGAACATTTGTGCCAGTTGACTATTGGCAAGGGTGCCAACTCCATTAGAAAACAGAGCATCTCTTCAGAAAGATGCTGGGATGGCATGGTAGAGAAGAGTGGTCTACTCACCACACAGATGAAAACAAGCTCAGATGGACTAGCGTGGCCTACATTAAATGTATCTCAGATACATTTAAATATGATCTTTACAAATCAAGAACCACCAGGTGTTGGTGGTGCACGCCTTTAATCCCAGAACTCAAGAGGGAGAGGCAGGCGGATCTCTGTGAGTTCAAGGCCAGCCTGGTCCGAGTTCCAGGACAGACTCCAAAGGAATGCAGAGAAACCCTGTCTTGAAAAAAACAAAACAAAAAATCAAGGACCATCTGTTTAAAGTTAAAGAGGTATCCCCCTTAATCCTACCATGAGTTCCAGGATGGAACTCATTTTGTCAGGCTTGCAGAGCAAGTGTTCCTACTGGATGAGCCATTTGCTGGCTCATATGATGAGATTCTGTGGCAGAAAGTCTCCTTGTGAGATGCTGTTCCCAGGACCTTCACTGCATTCCGCATGCCCAGATGGATCCCCCTGATGGGGTAGGGTGGGGTGGGGTGAGGGGAGGTGAGGAGGGGTGGAGAGGGGAGGGGAGGATACTGTCTTAGTTACTATTCTATGCTGCAAAGAGACTCTTTGACCAAGGCAACTCTTACAGTATAGTATCTAATTGGAGCCTTACTTGACATTTTTAGAGGGTTCGTCCATAATCATTGGGGGAAACAGACAGGCATGGTGCTGGAGCAGTAGCTGAGGGGTTTACATCCTGATCCACAGGCAACAGGAAGTGAGAGACACTGGACCTGTCATGGGCTTTTAAAACCTTGAAGCCCACCCCAATGACACACTTCTTCTAGAAGGGCCACACCTCCTAATCCTTCCCAAACAACTCCATTAACTGGGTACCAAACATTCAAATATATGAGTCTATGGAGCCATTCTCTTTCAAACCACCACAGCCAGCACTGTGGACAGGGCACAGTCAGTACCAACGGGACTCCTCTCTGACAGGTCGTTTTCTAGCCTCCATGCACACTGGATATTGTCTGTCTCCCTGTCCATTCCTTTTGAGGCAGGGTTTCTCCCTGAACCTGGTGCCCTTTCCTTCTCAGCTAGGCTCAGCTGTCTTCCTCTCTGATCCCTTTGGAACTGGGATTACAGGTGTGCACAGGATGCCTAACTTGGTACAAGGGTGCTGGGAACCAAACTGCAGTCCATGTAACTACAGAACAAGCACTCAAATGCTGAGCCATCTCTCTAGCCCCTTTGGTTTGTTGATATGAAATTTATATCAGTTAAACTTTTCAACTATACAATTCAGGAGTCCAGATAAAGGGCTGGATTCAGTGGTTCCATTATGTGCCAGGCAAGTAAACAGGTGTAAATAGGGGCCACCTAGTCAATATCTGTTCCAAACACCATGTGAGAATAAGGCTCTGTAGATGCAAGATAGTATGCTATACAATGAGAAGCAGCCTAGAAAAGATAGTGTAACCTGTCTGGACAGGTTGTGTAGGTGACTTCCAGTATTGTATGTATGAGGTCGGATGATGTAACAGTAGTTATTTTAAGATGACACTCCGTAAAGGAGCGCCTCAGACATGCTTGGACAGATGATGGAACTTCTCGGAACAAGGTGTGGCATGGGGTTTATGGGTTACCATTCCTTTCTTTCTTCTTTTTTTTAAATGCTATTTTAGAAATCGTAAAATCATCTAGAATCATGGGGATTGATGGGAGCAGGAAGGGGCAAGAAAAGGGAGTGGTGAGGAGAAATATGCTCAGCATGAAATTAGCCATGTTAAAGGCTTTAAACCGCGAGTGGAGTGGAGTACAGAAGGACTTTCCTTGAAACAGTGCTGTGGCGGGAAGTAGGGTAGAATGGGAGAGTTAAACTCTGTTATTAAGTAGTTATCAAAAATATTGATTGCAGGGCTAGAGAGATGATGGCTCAGCGGTTAAGAGCACTGGCTGTTCTTCCAGAGGTCCTGAGTTCAGTTCCAGCAACATGGTGACTTCTGGTATACAGGCATACATGCAGGCAGAACACTATATATATATTTATAATAAATAAATGAATCTTTTTTAAAAAAATTGATTGGAGAGATCAGCTGCACATGGTAGAACTCAGAAAGTGTTTGTGTCCAGAAAACTCAAGAATTAACTAGAAGCATGACTAGAACTTTTTAAGAGCCATATAATATAGCTAGACAAATTGTGTTACTAAGAAACCAGTAAGCAGTATAGGAGGCATGAGTATATGGTGATGAACAGTTTCCCAGGAACCACCATTAGTAAACATAAACCACCTCAAAAATAGCCCAAATCGCAGTGTGATCCTTGCAGCTTTAGACAGATCTTCCCAAACTGATCCCAAGTAAAGAGTGAATATTGTTTGGAATCCGTGCTTGTGGGAAGGTGTAAGAGGTGTTTTGACAGAGGCCAGAAGGGTGCTTGGGTGAGTGCTACAGATCCTCAGGCTGCTCTGAGCCGGCCAAGTCCAGGCAGGGACCAGAGGACATCCCCACTGTGTTGCAGTTGGAGCAGTGCCAGTTCTTTCCAAGGATGCCTCCTCGGGTGAGCGAGGTCGCCGCTCCAGTCAAGTGAAGACCCCACACAACCCTTTGGACTCCAGCGCCCCCCTGATGAAGAAGGGGAAGCAGAGGGAGATCCCTAAGGCCAAGAAGCCCACCTCACTGAAGAAGGTATGTGGGCTGTTTCCATGGGAGCAGATAGGGAGACTGATGGACTGTACTGTACACCTGCCTCTCTCAGCCCTCTAGTATTCCAGGTGATGCTCTCGGCATTGAAACTAGAGCACTGCTTATGTAGGCAAGACTCCGCCACCAAGCCATATCCCAGGCCCACACCTTTGGCTTTTAAAGTTTATATTATAGACCAACGTTGCACCAAATCATGTTGGTTTCCTGTGGCAAATGATCCTTCACCCTCTCCTTGTAATGAGATAGAGGGTGTAGGACAAGAAAATCTCTTCTTACACCTCCATGTAGGGGAGGTGCATTTCCTTCCTCACATACTCTCCCCTGGTACTCTGCCAGACTGTCAAGGCTTCTCTGCAGGCCAAGGTTCACCAGTCAGCCCTGTGCTGTGTGCTCTGAGTCCCTTTACATGTCCATGGTGGGTCAGGCAGTGCTGGTGTGCTCTTTTAATCTCAGGACTTGCAAAGCAGGGGCAGGTGAATCACTGTGAGTTCAAGTCCAGCCTGGTCTACAGAGTGAATTCCAAGACAGCCAGGACTACACAGAGAAACCCTGTATCTGTGGGGGGGGGGGGGGGGATCTGTGATGGATGGATTCTTGGAGCACACAACTGGCCTCAGAGCTTTGTGTCTCCAGAAAGAATTCCAGATGTGGGATGGGGGGACTGTCATCACTCCAAAGTCATCAACAAGGTGAACTTGGTCATTTCTTGGGCAGAAGAGCTTATCTTTTAGATACAAGTATTTAGGTGTTTTAATTGGTTTTTGTTTGTCTTTTTAAGATAATTTTAAAAGAACGGCAAGAGAGAATGCAGCAGCGACTCCAAGAAAGTGCTGTGAGCCTGCCTGTGGCCAGTGATGATGCACAGGACACAGAGGGTGGCGCCAGTGACCAAGCCCCCCGGCAAGTCCACCCCACAGGTACCAGATTCTGTGTGTGCGTCTGTTAAGCCTTTAGATGGGAGCCGCCCTGAGAACGGAGAGCTGTGGTAGAAGCAGGGACTCTCCAGCCCCGTATGGACCCTGTGGTAAGATGGAAGTTAGCATGGAACCTGGAGGACGTGGTTTCCATAACCTAGTTTTACAGGCAGAGGAGCCCCTTCCTTGTGTGATACTGGGAGCTCTAGCCACAAGGCTATTTCTATTTACCAAGTGTGTGAAACCTGGTGCCATTAAAAAATTAATGTGTATGGTTTTCCAGAGTTGTACGTTCAGGGAGTGTATATAGTGCAAATGTGTGTAGTAAATAAAGTACTTTGCACAGCACGAGAGAACAACCCAGGGACCCTCCCCTGGTCATCTAGTTAGAGGCCTCCTCAGGAATACTTCCCCAGCCTGGTCCAACCATAGGGCTGGGACCTGGCTCAGTGCCGCTGCGGTGTGGGCCATACTGACTCCACTTCCTTTTCTGGAGTGTGGAGCCTACACAGTTTTCAGTGCTGGGTAGTATTTGGCCGGGTAAGTGTGCCTGGTGTGGGAGCATACCAAGGCACTTGGTAGAAATGAAATGAATCTGCCCTCGGCAGTGTTGTTGGTATCTCTAGGAAGACATGAGCACGCACTTCCTGAGTGGGCTTGCTGTCGGAGCCCCTGCCTCCCATCTCCAGGCGCTCTGCGGTCACCAGCTGGGTGGGTTAGCCTTGTAGGCGCTCCCACCCTTACCCCATCGCAGTGTCTCTTTGTGCTTGCCACAATGGAGGAGGAGGAGTGTGCTCTTGAATTCTGTCCCCCTAGTGATGTTGCCTTGCTTTCATTCTGGTGCTCTCTGGAAGTAACTGGTTGGACATGCCAAGCTGTTGCTGACTCCATCTTGAGTGTTACACTTAGCCCCAGTTCAATACTCACGGGTGTTGTTGTTGTGGTTGGTTAGTTGTTTTGGTTTTCTATGTTGCTTTGGTTTTTTGTTTGGGGTTTATTTTTGGCAGTGCTGGGGGGTCAGACCTATGGTACACCAGCGGTGTACCCCAGGCCCAATGCTCCCTTAGTTAGAGGCAGGAGTTATCTGTTTTAGAAGGTTATTTGATAAAAGAATAGCTCAGGTTTTAACAGAAAACCTCAGACCTCTAACTCTGAGTTGTTTGGTTTTTGAAACGGGGTCTCATGCTTCTGCCCACACTAGCCTCAAACTGACTATAGCTTAGGCCTTTCTTGTGCCTGGCTATGGTAATCCTCCTGCCTCAGCTTCTTGCATGCTGCTAACCATAGGGAATTTTTATTTGTTTGTTTGTTTATTGAGGCGTGGTCTCACTCTGGCCCTAGCTAACCTGGACTTTAGTATGTAGACCAGTTGGCCCTAAACACACAGAGATCACCTGCCTCTATCTCCTGGGTGCTTGGCAACTAACCCTGCTTTATAAAATTTTCTAGTAAGTTATTCTTTAGATTCCAAACATAAATGGCAAATTTCACCACTTAATGGTAACTTTTCTGTCTTTTAACACAATGAAAATGAGTGCGTGAACAGGCTTGGGAAGGGGAGAAGGCATAGAAAGACTAGAACACTGATCCAGCAGTGACAGTCCATAGCAGACTTTCTGCTCCCTCTAAGGCCAGCGTTCTTTTTGGCTGGTTCTATAAGTTGATGGATTGCTTATGTCACTTGCACCAAGAAACTTTTGCTCTGCAGGCTGCTCTCTGTTTGCAAGGCCCTGCTGGGGTGCACAGTGATGTTTTATTTTCTCTCCCCCCCCCCCCCGAAGGCCCAGAGAAGACAGAAGAATCAGTGTCTTCTACACCTGTGATTGAGGGTGAATCAGAAGAGTCAACCGGCACAGAGTTCCAGAAGGACCCAGAGGCCTGCCCGCCTGCCCCTGGCAGTGCCACCTTCCCCAAGATCCACAGCCGGAGGTTCCGGGAGTGAGTGAGCACGGGCTGCTGGGGTTGGGGCTGTGGTAGTGTGGCCACAGTGTGTTTGGTCCTGTGCCTGAAGTCGACTCAGGAGCTAGTTCTGCGGTAGGGGTGGGATGTGAGCATCTTTTCCTGTGAGTGTCTGTGGTTCATTGTCTGTGGTTCTGTCTTGCTGGTAATGATTGAAGAGGTGTCCGGAGTCTGTTTTTGAAGCTGGGGTGGGTGAAGTAGCAATGATAATGACTAGCTCCTTCCATGTATCAGTTTCACGGAAGTTTCTTTTCCCTCCATTCTTTTCTCTTTCTTTCTTCTTCCTCTTTATGTATTTACCTTTTCTTACTGTGTAGCCCAGGCTAACCTTGGTCTTGAATTCACACTCTTGCTTCTTCAGCCTCTAAATACTAGGGTTACAGATGTGGCCCGCCATGCCTGGCCTCCGTTTAGTTCCCCAGTGTATGGTGCACTCAGCACTTCTCATATCTCCTCTTTCACAGCACTCCTTGGGGCAGCCTATCCACCTAGGTACCTGTGCTCAGAGCAGGGCAACGCAGAGGAGAAGCTTGTTAGGGCCGCCAGAAGGCAGGCGGGGCTGGGCCTCCCGTGGCATTCCCCCCTTGTAGTAGAGGGCTGCATTCCCCCTTGTATCGCAAGCATATCGGGAATTGCATGTTCCTGATTGAGCATCAGTGTCTCCAATGGCTTCTGTCTGATGCTGTCTGCATTGTGTGGGGTTCCTTCCTTTCAGCTACTGCAGCCAGATGCTTAGTAAAGAAGTAGATGCTTGTGTCACGGGACTGCTCAAGGAACTGGTGCGCTTCCAAGACCGGATGTACCAGAAGGATCCTGTCAAGGCCAAGACCAAACGCCGGCTTGTGTTGGGGCTGAGGGAAGTCCTGAAACACCTGAAGCTCCGGAAGCTGAAGTGCATCATCATCTCTCCCAACTGTGAGAAGACACAATCCAAAGGTGACAGCACCCACATGACTCGGGCTCCCGTGCCAGTGCCCGGTGTCTGCCCTCACAGTCAGCCATGCACATGGCCAGCGGGCGTGTTGTCAGCTTGCTTTCAGTTTTAACAGAGCAGTCATTTCCCAGTGTGCATCTAACCCTGCTTCTGACCACGGGCCTTCCCCTGAGGCCAGCCCGCAGGCTTTCCTCTGACAGGGTGGAGCTGCTGCTCTAGGCTCCGTAGGGTGTAGGGTTGCTGGAGACTGTGCAGGGACTTTGGTCCTGTTTGCAGTTACTGTCTGTGTTTTACGCCTCTGCTCATGCTTTGCTAACGTGGATTTGTCGCAGTACTCCAGCAGTTGGCCTGCCTGGGCTGGAAGGAGGCTGTGTGTGAGGTGATGGTGAACTTGTCTGCCCTCCTGTCGTGGCTCTGGGAGGGCTTGCCTGTCCATGTTGCGTCCTGGGTCCGGCGGTGGAAGGAGTCATTAGGAAGAGCGCCGCCACTCTCACACCCTCTTCATCTTGGCATGGCACAGGAAGTGGAGCAAGAATCTTAAAACACACGAGTAGTCTCCCTGACCCATTCCTTCCTCCCTTGTGTAACCTTTCGGCTCAGCCAGAGTCAGGTCCAGATCCCGGGGCAAGTCCTGAGCCATGATCTCAGGTTACCTTTCGGAACAATAGCAGCTGGCCTCTGCTGGCTCACTGCTGCTCTACTATGACCACCAGCCAAACCGTGCCAGGTTAGAGTGGCGTGCCAGGCTGCCAGCATGCTCGATAGTGCTGGCCATAGCAGAGGAGCAGCAGAATGTTTCCTGGCCCTCGTCCACAGTGTGTGTCTGTACAGATGAAACTGAAGTGCTCAAAACAGCCTGCTTTTCGAATAAGCAAGCCTGGGCTTCCTGCCCCTGAGTGACCTCAGCAGTTGACCCTTAGGCAAACCTTGGTGGTTTGGGTACCACTGCCTGGTGTGTTTTTAGCTTCCTAATACCCAGTAGAAGCTACTTGTAGCCTCTGGAAGGCTCTTTCTGCCTCTGCTTGCAGGGCAGGTTCGCTGTCAGCTTTCCCTGTGAGTCCTTCCCCTGCAGTCACAGGTGAAGCATGGGGGCCCTGCCTTGGCAGGGGGCAGTAATGAGAGCTGGGTGTCTCTGTGCTTTTGTGGTTTCCTGGGGTAAAGGCTGTAGAGCGATGGCCGTGTGAGAACAGGCATGTGGGAGGCCTGTGAGCCCAGGACCATACTTCCAGCTGTCTGGGAAGAGCTGTACAAGGCAGAGTGTGCAGCGTGTTTCCTGTTTCCCCTTACCCACACATTTTCAAAATTTCTCAGATCCCACTTATAGGAAGCCATAATTAAAGGTTAATGTGGAGTGAAATTTGGTCTCTTCAGATCATCCTGTACAAAGAGCAGGGGTCAGGGGCTCAAGGTGAATGTGGAGTTGACATTTAGTCACTTTAGATAAGCTCTGTTAGCATGTTGGTGTTCTGAAAATTGTCCATGGGCTTTGTGAGTTTACCCATTGGTCTTCTGTTTCTGAGGTAAATGGTCATTTCTTCATTCCTTCTTGCTGTTGTTGGAGCATAGAAGTGTGTGCCACCAGCACCCTGACTGACCTCCCCTCTGTTGGGAGTGATCCCCAAGTGCTGTTGGGTTCCCAGTGACCAGGTATGTCACCTGTGCAAGGTGATCCTTCATCTCCTCCCTGTGTTGGCCTTGCCGGTGCCTCATCAGAAGCAGGCCCAAGGTAGTAGGAGCCAGGAGCCCGTGCAAGCCAGGCCCCTGAGCCTGCACAGTGTGGTAGAGCGCTGGTCAGCTGCCTGTCACAGAGTGCTGTCATGGGAATTGTGTAGTCTTACTGACTCTTCCTTGTGGTTATGACCCGCTCTCTCCTGGTGGATTTTGCTATGGGCAACCGATTGTTGTGGTTATAAGTGGGGTGTGTTGTTGTCTGAAGAGTCAGCATCAAGCCCACCCTGTGGATGGACCTGTGCTTATCTGACCAGGTGGACTGGACGACACGCTGCACACCATCATCGATTGTGCCTGTGAGCAGAACATCCCCTTCGTGTTTGCACTCAACCGCAAGGCACTGGGGCGTAGTCTGAACAAAGCGGTTCCTGTCAGCATCGTGGGAATCTTCAGCTATGATGGGGCCCAGGTGAGTTGGGCCCCAGCCTCTTAGCTCCTTGTCCATGGGAAGAAGTTGAGGTCATGGCCTATAATGTAAGCCTACCAACAGGCAGACCATAGCTTCTGTTGGCCTTAGGAGAATTCATCTCAAAACAGAACCTTCTTAGAGAGCAGTAGCCTTTGTCTCCATAATGGCACCTAGTGAAGGTCCTGAATTTGACTCTGTGTCTGTTACCAACCGAGAGGTACCACCTGCCTAAATCTCTGGCCAGGTTCCTCATCTCCTGGTATTACTCCTAAGCAGGGTGTCACAACCCACGTTACCCTACCTCGCTGTCCTGCAATGTGCGTGCTCTCTTGTGTTCAAGGACCAGTTCCACAAAATGGTTGAGCTGACCATGGCGGCCCGGCAGGCATATAAGACCATGCTGGAGACGGTGCGGCAGGAGCTGGCAGGACAGCCTGGGCCTCAGGCCCCTCCCAGCCCACCCATACAGGGCCCCATCCAGTCCACTGAAGAAGGCACCCTCGCCTCCACTGGAAAGGAACCACACTACAGTAAGTGCTCTGGGGAGGGGACCTCTGAGTTCAGGGTTAATCAGAGCCTCAGGAGGTTAGGAGAGCAGCATGGCTCTGATGCCAAGGCTACCAGCAGTGGGCCATGGTACTTCCAGGCAGGACTGAATCCATCACGCTGGCCCATTGCTTCTGAGATCTTAATCATCAGACGTCAGAAGCTGCAAGGTCATCGTTGATGGTCTTATACCTGAGCTAAATGTCACCTGAACAGAGGTGGCTTAAGGGCAGCTATACCTGAGACCAGTTTGGGAAGGCGAGTGGCTTCTCAGTGCTGTGACTGATGCTGCTCCGTAAGGGGGGAGCCAGCCTTACAGGTGGGGAAGAGTGAATAGAGCTGGCCAGGGACAGCTCTGAGGAGAGCAAACATCTGGCAACATCTGTAACTCATGCCACCTCATTCCTGCTTCTGATGGGGCTGTGTGACTTGTCAGTGTGTCACTTGGGCTGTTTTCCTGTTTCAGTTGAGATTTGGAGAAAACACCTGGAGGCGTACAGTCAGCTGGAGGACTCACTGGAGGCGTCAACCTCTCAGATGATGAACTTGAATTTATAGAAGAGTTCTTGCCTGTGTGTCTGTGTATTGGGTAAGGATGGGAGAGGCAGGAAAAAGACTTCCTTCTCAATTCTTTACTGACCTGATGTAGTTTATATGACTGTAGAGTTGGAAATTCACTGCCTAAGGGCAGCGGAAGCAGCTGGTATAGCACTGCGAGTCCATCAAGTGGACACAAATAGACTCATGAGAGCCTTCCCCAGGGACCCGTGATTGAACTTGGCTCTCCCTGTACACTGGACCTGGAAAATGCTGGAGAAGGTGATCCTGGGTCCTGTGCTGACCAGGAGACACTCCATTACAGAGCCAATAACCCAGTGACGGGAAGGACGGGACTGTGCGCCCTGGGGGACTGTGGAGGGAGGGCCCTTTCTCGGGGGTTGGAGCCCTGCCACTTTGTGCTGCCAAGGATTTGCTAAAATGAGCCTCAGAAGAAAATTAGTTTCTAACATGACTTTGACATAAATTAATCCTTTTAGTTTTTATTTTCCAAAGAAGCCGTATATATCAAATTTGTAGATTCCAGTTTGGTATCTACAAATCTTTTTAATGAACATATGATGAATGTGGTTTCTGTCTTAGAGGACAGAGCTTGCTTGCGTATTTTCTCTGCAAGTGAGAGGGCTTATTTATTTTGAATAAAGAGTGATTATTTAATTTCATCTCAGACTCTGGTATCTTAGTTGAGTGGTTGCAGTTTTACTGGTTATTCCCACTGGAATTCCATATTGGGCTTTTCCTCTTTCACACTGCTAAGGCCTAACAGGTACAGCATCATGCCCAGTCACAGAACCAGGGACTGCTAAATCCTTAGCATCTTTCACCAAGTCTGCTCTGTGTCAGGAAAGATTTCTACTATTTGCCTGCCAAGCAAACATGCCCGAGCTTTGGGAATTCTGTTGGCTGAATTCAGTTGCATTCAGCATTGTCTCTGAGGAGTGGCCTGTGCTGAGAAGTGATAGTATAAACTGAGTCAGAAATGGCATGCCTAGCAGGCCTGGCCTGGCCGTGTGGCCTGAGCTTGCTGCTGCATGCACCGACTGCCATCTGGAGCTTATGATTGGTTTGAGCCCCATGTTGACACTGTTTCAGTGGGGGATGGACTTGGTGCCCTCCCATCCATGTCAGTAGGCATCAAGGTGGTTGTAGGAAGTTTGGAAATAGATTATTTGAGGGGAAGGCTCTGAAATTAGTTTGTGGGAAGTTTGTAAACTACCCCGTCAGCTACATTCAGCAGGTAGAATTATGAAATTTGATAAAACAAAAAATTTTCTGCAATGTGTCCTGATCTGAGGGCCTTCTCCCCTGCGGTTGCCTTGACTATGGCATGTCTGCCAGCCTAGGCTCCTGGCCCACGCAAGAACCCATGAGCAGCTTTCTAACTTCTCATTCTGCTTCTGTGGCGCCATGGTTGTGCCATCACTTTGTTAGCAGTAGAGGACTCTTGCCAAGGCCAGTGCTTTAGATGAAGTCTGCTAGTCTCCCCCAGCCCCCACTGTGCCAAGGGTGCCCAAGGGTCACAGGAGAGAACACCAAACTGAACACAAGTGCCCGTGAAGTGCCCACTCTTGGTACAGCTAAACAGGGATTTTTTTTTTTTTTTTTTTTTTTTTTCTTTGATTGGTTGGTTGGTTTTTCAAGACAGGGTTTCTCTGTGTAGCCCTGGATGCTCTGTAGACCAGGCTGGCCTCTAAGAGAGATCTGCCTGCCTCTGTCTCCCCAATGCTGGAATTACAGGCATGCGCCACCCCTGGCTGAACAGGGAGTCTTCTTAAGTATACTCCCAGGCAAGCGTCCACTGCAGCCTCAAGTGTGTGGTTGTTTGGGGGCACAGGCAGCTCCTGACAAACCCAGACTTCAGGGAAGACACAGGGAGCAACGGTGAGGCAAGGGGCTGGCCAGGGCATTATGGCTGAAGCCACACTTCAGATCTAACCAGTGAAAATCATTTATAAAGGAACTCCTTTGCAAAGGTATGAGGGGACTGTCAGTGTGGTTAGTGTGCATTGGCCAGATGTGTGAGTAGGTGCCAGGCAGTGTCTAGAGGAGGGGACAAGTACACATGACCACCAGAGTGTCTCTGCCTAGAATTGGCCTCAGGATCCCTTTTTACACTGGACTGAGGAGGGACCAGCTAACCGTACACCTGGAAGGTCACCTGACTCATTTGTCCCAGAAAGAAGGGACATTGAACAGACTGAGCAAGCCGGTGTCTCCAGGGATCATAGAAGGGCATGGCTTTGTTTTGAACAGAGTTGTAGTTTTTATGATTGACAAGAAGAGACATGTCTACAAGATTAAAGGCTGAGCATCTCTTGGGCCACGCCTCCTCAGGTCACACACACCCACAAGCTTCAAAGACTGTAATATAAAGACTTGGAAGCACCTACAAGACGCATTTACTCAGCACTGGCAAAACAGTTTAATACGGCACCAGAAGGTTTGCATAATTGACTTGTTTGTCTTTTCTACCTCAGAAGCGGAGCGCTAACAGGGTAAACATGGGTGGGAACCACTGTGCTTTGGAAAACAGCCTTGTGTTCTGAGATTAGCAAAGAGCAGCTTCCTCATCCTCACTCAGGGTTTAAGGCAAAATATTCTTACATGAAATCTCACCTCTGCCATCCCAGGGTACAAAAATCAATGACCTGTTTACAAGGGAGCCACATCAGCAGGCTTGACTTAGATCCACAAAACAAGCGGATATTAACGCTGCTGGCCCTGGGGGAGGGGCATGAGTGTGCAGTGAAGTCCTGGGGATGATGCAGGGGAGGCCGCCCTCAGGTTAGCTGTCACACGCTGCTCTATCAACTCCTAAACAGCTCAGCTAGCTATTCCTGCCAGGCAGCTGACCCTTCTGTTACATAAGCAGCTAGCATAAAAGGGTCCTGGTCTCTGTCTCATGCCACCAATGGGGTTCTGGCCTAGAGATTACCAGCCTCCAGGAGGAGCCTCAGGCAGTGGCCAGGGGCTATGTGTGGAGCCAACCAAGACCAAAAGGGCTTGGTGCCACAGGTGCTGGTGTCTTCAACAGCTGTGTCTGCAGCTGTGTCAACAAGGTCTGCCGGGATCTGTTGAGAACTGCTGCCTCGGGTGGTTAAAAGGTGTCCTTACAGCTTTCCTAAAAATAAACAAGCAAGGTTGAGTTTGTGACCTAATAGAACAGGCCCTTCTTGCTTTGGGGCAGAGCCCACCAACCCAGGGTTTAAGGATAAGAGTACCCAGGTGGTTTCCCTAAGCACCCAGGCCCGTGTGCTCCAGACAGGTGAGCCGAGCATCCTGCCTTCAGAAAGCAGCTGTTGTCACATGACTGAGTTGAGCAGCATCCCCTAGTGTCACAGAGGACTTTGGAGGGGAGCGCTGCATAGGCTCTGATGAGAGAGGACTCATAATGCTATTGACAATCTGGCAGTCATCTAACACACATACTTAGGCTTCCCCGAGGACATAGCTCTCCATTGGTGTCTGGCAGCTCATCCCAAGGTAAATCCTGCCAGAGTGCAGCACAGTGATTTGAACCTATGTGAGGGCATCATGGCTGGAAGGCCCTCACTTCTGTAGGCTTGTAGGTAGTAGAACCCCACCAGGCTGTGCCAGGGCACCCCTTTCCATGTTCCACAACAGCAGCTAGTCTCCTCTCATGAATGAAAGAAGTGTGTTCCAGGAGACTGTCCAGGGGCCGGGGCATTAATAGCTATAAGGCTGTGCATGACCTACAGACCTCTTAGTCTCCTCTACCACCTTGATTCTGCTAGCCTCAGTGACATCCCAGACTTCCCTGGAGCAACAGAGAAGCAAAACTTCTCTAAAGGCTGAGGAAGCCAGAGGGGCCCAGTGGCAAAGTTGGGGTTCCCTGCAAAAGCTCCCTGGTAGCCAGGTACGTACCCATGCCTTCTTCCAGCCCTGCATCAGCCGATCATGCTCCCCAGCCACAGCGCGCCATGCAGCAAGCTCCTGGCTCCACTTTTCCTGCTGGAATGCCTCTGGAAGACAAGCAGTGTCAAGGTCATAGCTCTCAGACCTCCGGAGTGGTACAGGTGCACACTGTCCATCAGGACCACACCATAGGCTGAGGGGTGGGTGAGTCCCGGTTCTGTCTCACTGGGGAATCTTCTCACTGCTCTGAGTGGGCCACTGCTCTGGGCAGCCAGTGGGCTTGGCATTTCACTAATGGTTGGTTTTTGAGAGTTTTGCTTTTTCGACCTAGTTGGCCTTGAACTCACTCTGTAGCACAGGCTGGATCTAAACTGGAATCCTCCTGCTTCAACCTTTCTAGTTCTGAGACTCCCAAGTATGTGCCACCTCACCTCACAGTCGATGTCTCCATTCATCCCCTTTCTCCCAGCCACAGCTGCTCTCCAAGGCTTCAGGGGACCTGGCCTTTACATTCCATTGTCACTTCCTGGGTGGCAGACACGCGCGCGCGCGCGCGCGCACACACACACACACACACGCACACACACACGCTGAAGCCCAAATTTCAGCTTAGCTCTCACCAGAGTTGGTAGAATCTTGGGAAGCCAGCATGACTGGCTTCAGGGGTTGGGGGAGTGTCTTTCTAGATTCTGTAAACAAACCTACAGCATGTAAGGGTGAGGTACATTGTGTCCTTGAACTGCTACTTATGCCAATGTCAGAATAATCTCATGAACATGAGCCCATCCATCGTGAAGAACAGCTAACAATACCCCAGTGGTCATTCAGAATGCCGTGGGAGCCCCTCCCTTTAAAGCTCGGACCTGCAGGCCACGGGGAGAGGGAGCTAGTTCTTCCCTTCGATCCTTGGGGCCCTGCAGACTGATGCTGATAGCACAGGTGAGTGTTGTGTCCCCTTCCAACTAACAAAGAATCACTTCACCCTGCTGCAGCTTTGCTGGACCTAGAAACACTTTGACACAGATTCTGAACCGTCCTAGCATGATTGTATCCTATAATCTTTGATGTGTGTGTGTGTCTGTGGCTGTGTGTCTGTGCTTGTGTGTCTGCCTCAGTGTGTGTGTGTGTGTGTGTGTGTGTGTGTGTGTGTGTGTGTGTGTAGGTAGAATAGTCTAGGTGTGGCACTGCCATCCTGTTCTTCATTAGCTGCTCACCTTGGGCAGATCACTGGCCTTTGTGGGCTTCTGTGTCAGCATCAGTCCCCTGCCTGGTGCTTCTCTGGTAACTGTAGCTGCTTGCTACTGCTGCCCTACCTCCTGGTGAGAATTTGAAAGTCACAGGTCCCTTCTGCTGATTCTGGTTCATCCTGATGGCAAAGCATCAGGCCATTGCTTAGATGTGGACAGTGAATTGTTGGAGTTTTCTCTAGAACCCCCTGAAACACATCAACAGAACTTTTTATGTTAACATGTGTAAGACCATGAAGAGAGTAGTAAAGGAAGCAGCAGGGGACCTGGGAAGTGGAAAGCTGTGAGACACTGTGGCCGTCCCAAGACCTCACAGCCTCTGGATAGCCCAGATGGTAGCATGCTAAGGTGCTTATGGCTTAAAAGACTGCACAACCAGGGACCACGATCCCTCTTCCCTAGCACAAAACAAACGGTCAATGGGTTGGGCACACAGCAAGCAGACTCAGTGGGCATTCAAAACTTAAGGAGGAAGCCCTGCCCTCTCCCCCAGTTAAGTCTCTAGATGCTGTCTCCTGTTATTTGTTCTAGGTCTGGGC